CTTGGTACATGCTTCCAGAGCACATGTCCTTTTCCTCCGGTTTTGGCGACCCGGCGGTTCGGCTGGTGTGTCCCCCCACTTAAGGACCTAGTCGCTCGGTTCTCCGATCTCAGTCTCCGGTTTCAAATTCGGTCTTCCTGTGGTACTGTCAAAGATCGCACTACCTCCCAACTCGGGGCTTGCCAAACGGGTTTTCGGTTCTTCCGGTATCTCGGATTTATTACGCCAAAGCTCCCATTCTAGATGGTGTTTGAGTATTTATTATTTAATATTGTGTTTAAGATAATTAGATATATTTTAGAAAAAGAAATTAAATAGAATTCTGGAATTTAGAAGAATAGTGTATTATTATGTTTATAAGATAATGAATATATTTTTATTTATTACAACATTTATTAATTAACAATAAATCACTAATGATCTTTTATTATCATGATTCATTATCTTTATTATTATTTATTATTTATTATATATAAATAAACTGCATAATACTGATTAAAAATGATAATCTAAATAGAATAAAAAAAAGTTATGTATATAATTAAAGTAATAAGTTGAATAAATTTTTTCTTTTATTCGTGAATATAGTAATTAAAAGAGTTTGTAGATATTATCTTGATAATATACAATAAACAGTCTGAAAGAGTATTATTATTTAGTAATTGAGCTTGAACTAATGATATTTATTTCAGAGATCAAAATTTAGAGAGAATAAAAAAAAATTTTAAATGATAATGATAATTATTGTTCGAAAAAAAATACAATTACATTATATAACAATTCGTTCAATAGTGTAAAATTTTATTATGGTTAATTTCCAATTTTAGAAATATATAGATTTTGAGACATAACTCTTTATAGTATAGTGAAATTAATTAAGAGCATATTAGGAAGGTGATAAAAATTTAAGCACTAAATACTTGTATTCTAAAAATGATTAGTTCTTATTGTAAAATAAAGGTTTCATGTACAAATCAAATTGATCCATCTATAAGTGGCAAAATTATTTTTTTAAACTCATTAGTATTCATTTTGTATTATACAGTAATTTCTTAAAGTCAATAATAAAATATTATAAAGTTATATTAATTAATTAGTAATAAGTAATTATAAACTAACAATTCAAATATTATATTTTTTCAAAGAATGAAATAAAATATTTAAGGGGTGATCCGCAGTTAAAGAGTATAAATTTTATAGTAAAAATCAGCGGGCATGTGACTAGTTACCTTATATAGTAAGTAGAATCTCATGTGCTTCAATTCTTAAGAAAAAACTCTATAGTAACTAATTGAAAAATACTCATATCTTATGCTCTATTAAGCTGATTTTGATGATTTTACTACCATTAGAATCACAAAAATTAGCTCTACAACTTTTAATTAAGCAACATAAAAGAGTCACTTAATAAAAAAAATACTTTTATATGTAAGCAAGCCAGATTTCTATACTATAAAAATTTACTATTAAATCCCGGCATGATTTATTATAAAATGTCGATCATTTTATACCCTTTAGGGGCGATTTACCCTTTAAATTTTTTTGTGAAATTAGCATAAAATAATACATAAGCATTTTTTTTGTTGAAAACAAATTGCAAATCATGGTAAAACTGGTATTTTTTTTATTTTTAAATCTAATCTATTTTATTTTAGATTCATTATACAAATTAACTTATTAAGAACAAAATAAGCATATGAAATAGGAATTTTTTTTTTGTTCTTTATAAATACAACCACTATTCTGTAACAGAGTAAAATGAAACGCTGGGATAAAGAATAAGATCAAGATCTAGAAAGATCCAAATTAAGATAGAGGTAAACAAACCTTACTACAAAACGATTTCAAATTCGTGATATATAGCTTTTCTTTTTTTTAGATATTTTTTTGCCAAAAAGATAAATAATCTAAACCTAAAAGAACTCAAAATGACCTGAAATGGCTAAATAGCATATCACAAACATGAAAGCAATTCTTTAAAGCATTAAATTAAAAATTGGTAGTATAATAAATAAAACAAAAATCATAAGTTATATAATATATATACTATATATTAAAAAATTTTAATAAAATAATTTACTTTAAATATTTTTTTTTAATATGCAATATTATTTTTACTAAAAAAATTTAATAATAAAAACTATGATTTACATAGTATAAAAATGGTTTTTCTTAAATATCTCTACATTTTTATAAGATACCCTTCTTTCAAAAATACATTTTACAAAAAGTTTTTGCTTACCCACATCTTACAAGCTATTTTTTATACTAAAATCAAAAACTCCAAAAGAATCTTATAAAAAAAGACAAAATAATTGCCTATCTTTGAAGGGGTCTCACATCACCGTGTGACATTAGATTTCCATATTCTTTATATTGATCAAGTCTTTAAACGTGATTTCGTTGATTTGTATAATTTATAAAAATCATATGATAAAAAAATCAGATGTGACATATCGATCGACTGATAATAATATCATGTTACGATATACCATAACTACAATTAATTAAAAATTACGTTTAACTTAGTTATAATACGGGAATATCCCAATGACTCAGCGGTGAACATCCGTCGGAAGGAATAGTCATTTTTACCTGGTGAGTTACTAGTAAGTTTGGTAACTTACGATAAAATTTATGAATTATAGTAATTTTACAACCCTACTGGTGTAATTACGGTTGCCGTTCAAATTATCAGTTTTAATATATGAAATCATAGCTATCATAGCTATAATACCCGAACAATAAAATGCTTTCTCAAAAAAAAAAATCAGAATTTAAAAGATTTTAGCTACATGAAAACTCAAATTAGATGTGAACATGAGTCTATTTATTTAGATTAATAACAAAAAAAAAAAAAGAATCCGACCGCTCGACCGGTACTTTGAAACACCAGGTAATGCAAACGAAAATCAACTTTGTGTGGCCTTATCTAATAATCGATCCATTCAATCCAATTGAAATTCGATCTTTTAAGAGTTTTTGATTAAAAGTCTTAATTTTTTGAATAATTTAAAGTTTTAATATTACATTATTAAATGCACACATATTTATTTAATGAATCGGTGGTTTTTTAAGTTTGACACTATTTACCGAAATGGGATATGAATTTGGGTTTTGGTCATGAACCCAAATTAAGTAGAAATGTCGATTCCCAAACCAAAACTAAGTAGTAATGCCGTAATTTAAAAAAAAAAAGTTTGGGTCGCAACCTACTAGAAACCATGGATTTTAATGATCTTTTTGTCGATTCCTTCTTCCGCGAGGAAGTTTTGGACTTTAATACGTTGGTCTCCTTGAAGCTGAATCACTTGACCGAGTTCTTCATCTTGTACAAGAGTACCATTACAAGCAAATTCCTAATTTAATGAAAATATGACACAAATAAATTGCGGTTTCAAATATGTAATGATTGTTAATTTTATAACAAACCTTCTTAAATGCCTTTAGCAATTTCTTTTGATCATATTCAACTGGAAGACCTTGAACAGTAGTCAAAGTCTTTCTACCGTTTCTCTGTTGTATACGAATATCTGCAAAAAAATATTAAATTCGGAATCAAGGATAGGTTTTTTTAAAATAAAATGGAAATTTCTAAAATAGTTGACGGGTCTTCATTGTTATATAAACAGCACTCATCTTAAAGTGATGAGCTTAGAAAGTATTGGCAAAAAAGATAGACAAAATGAAGGATACGAATATATCCCTGAGGTCCAGCGTCGTCTTCACCGGTGTCAGCGAAAGGATCTATGAGATAGATGTGCAAATCAACAATTTATTTTGAGTTCTTATTATTTTGTAATTTGTAACTTACCATAAACTTGAAGGTTTTGGATCGCGGACATAAAAAGCTACGGTTAATACTTTAATAAAAGAACGAGCTATTAGAGAAAAAGCGAGTGTTGAGATTCTATGCTTCGATAAACTTTGTTAAACTAGACTTTTTTTTTTCTTTCTTTCAAAGAATAACCTTGGCGGTTGACTGAGATTAGTAAGATGGATTGGTGGAGTTGACAAATTTATATTAAAAAAAAAAACGATGTATAGTAGACAATAGGATAGAGATTTCTATTGGGTCAGAACTTTTTATATTAGGCAATTATTTATCTGTTATATATAGTTCAATACTTATCAATCACATCGATCAATTAATCAATGAGTCATAACTCGTAGAACGTTACGTATGTACTACTACATATGTATTTTAAAATTCCTTAATTCAGTTAGCAAATCGAAAATCTTATGGTTTCAAATCTCATGAGGGTGTGGCGGGTTGATTCGAGACTTGCTATAAAACGCTAAAATACGCAGTTACGGTGTCACATGGTCTTATACACTTATGATAACAGTCGCACGATTTGTCACGCAGATCATGTGGGTAAAATTTTTAATTATGCGCCAAATGATTCCTGACAATGTAACTTACATTGTAACTTACATCGTAAGTTACATGACCCTATGTAAGTTACAAAACATATAATTAGT